AAGATCTATGTCATTATAACAAGCTCACTTAGAGTGTAGAACTTTTTGAAACTCCTTTTTGAATTAGAACAAAACGCATCTTATAAGGTTTGGAAACTGGAACTATGGAAGAGCTTCATTCGTGCCTCGACTGTTCCAATTGTGCGATAAAAGCGGAAGACTAATAGTCGAAGAAATTGTAAACTTCAATCAAGAGGTGAATTACTCATGGGTGCCTCCATTATTCGCACGAGAAATCAACGTGAAACTCCATAGAGTCTTGACGGAGACGACGTCATGATATTAGACGCTTACGATAAAATCTATGTTTGGATCGGCAAAGGAGCGAGTGTCCAGGAAAAAGCAGAAGCAACAAATACTGCAAAGGTAGCTTTAGCTTCAGTTGAATAGGTTTCTTCATACGCTTTGCAGACGTACATACAACAAAACGCACTCGGGCGTCATGTCCGTTTCGAAATTATCAAAGTTCAACAGGGAAGCGAGCCGGACAATTTCAAGGACATGTTCCGAAGTTGGAATGACAGCTTATTCCAAAAAGTAATAGAGCTTTTTGACAGTACTACGTTTTCACTACCACTTTTACTTTCAGAACGCGAGGTCGGTAGAGAGCATCAAGCGAAGTTTGTTTAACCGTTGAAACTCTATACTTTATAAGCAGCTGTACACGGAAATATAGAAACTTATTGGCATTAACTTGACTTTTTGAAGACGCAGAGTATTTTAGCTTTTGCAATAAAATTTTAGGATGCATATGCAAAATAAGATAAGCGCACTTTGCTTATTAAATGTTTACTGAGATTTTGCAGTTTATCGCTGGAATGGAGGATGCTTTATATTATGTGGTCATTGAAATAAAGATTCTGAACTGAGGCTTGGCTTCTCAACAATTATTACTTCGACAGAAACGCCCAAATCTTTTTTTGCTCATTTTTCTCCGCTCTTTATTTCTTTCTGAGTTTCCTTTTCTTGTTTATTCTTTTGAATTGCTATCAGCTTTCAACACATTT